AATATCAATGCCTTTTGGACAGTGGAACAACACATACTATCTTGAAGGATAGAAAATATTTTTCACAACTAAAGTTGTTTCAAGCCAATGTAAAAACACTATTTGCGGGGCAGCTAAATTAATTGAAGAATCTTCTATAATGCTTCAAATGGAACAAAAATGATAATCAATAATGCTTTATATTCGAGTAAATCTCAAAAAAATCTCATAAGGTTTAAATATGTACGTCAAAATGGCTATCATTTAGAATCAATGACAATAGATTAAAGAGTATTTATGCTTCACGGCAGAACAATGTGGCAAGAAACATATTTATGAGAAATTGCAAGCATATTCTTCGAGGTTATATCGTATAAATATACGACCCGTGGAAAACAATATGATATATAACCAGAAGTTAGGTGACAAACATTTGATTATTTTATGGCATGGTCGTTTGGGACATCCAACAACTGGGATGATGCAAAGAATTATAGCAAATTCAGTTGGACATTCAATAAGAAATGTCAACATTCCTCGATCGGATGAATTAACATGCTCTGCATGTTTATTTGACAAATTAATAATAAGGCCATCTATGAACAAAATTACTACTGAATCTCCAAAATTCTTGAAAAGGATTCAGGGAGATATTTGTGGGTCAATTAATCCGACATGTGGACCATTTCAATATTTCATGGTTTTAATTGATGCTTATATCCGATGGTCACATGTAAGTTTACTTTCAAGTAGAAATGTTGCCTTTGCAAAATTACTTGCCCAAATTATCAAATTAAGAGCTCAACTCCCAAATCATACAATAAAGAAAATAAGGCTCGACAAAGCTGGGGAATTTACATCCCAAACATTTAATGATTATTGTATGTCAATTGGAATTGTTGTTAAACACCCAGTAGCTCATGTTCATACGCAAAATGGTCTAGCATAATCACTAATTAAAAGACTACGATTGATTGCAAGACCATTATTAATGAGGTCAAAATTGTCATCATTTGCTTGGGGACATGCTATAATCCATGCAGCAGCACTAATTAGATTGATACCTACAGCTTATTATAAATTCTCGCCACTACAGTTAGTTTTTGGTCGAGAACCAAGTATCTCACATCTAAACATTTTTGGTTGTGTTTTATATGTTCCTATTGCTCCACCCCAACGAAACAAAAATGAGACCACTGAGAAGGCTGGGAATTTATGTCGGGTTTGAATCCCCCTCTATAATCAAATATCTTGAACCATTGACTAGTGACCTATTTACGGCTAGATTTGCCGGCTGTCACTTTAATGAAACATTATTCCCAGCCTTAGGAGGAGAGAAAGTGGACCCACGCAAGAAAAAAATAGAACTCATTTGGAATGCAACACAACTGTTGATGCTAGACCCACGAACTAATGCGTGTGAACAAAAAGTCAAGAAAAAATTTTCATTTACAAAGTGTTGCCAATCAATTGCCTGATGCATTTGTAGACACAAAGATGGTGACAAAATCACATATACCAGCAGAAAAGGCCCCTGCACGTACTGAAATTCCAACTGATAATAAGGCCATTAAAAATAAATCTCAAGCACGCAAAAAACGTGGGAGACCACTTGGTTCAAAAGATTCTAAGCCAAGGAAATTGAAAATATTGGATGGAATAGAAAATGAGACTAATGATGTTCCCCTGTCTGAAGGTCAAGAAAGACCAAATGTGGATGAAAGTAAAAAAAAATGATGATAATCTAAAAAGGGATGAACAAGAAGACAATCCTACGGGAAATGAAAAAAATGACAAAGACATCGATAACAATGAAATTTCAATGAATTATGTCTCTACCAAGATTCATTGGAATAGAAAACATGTTATCGTAAATGAAATATTCCATTGCAAACGACATTGTGTCTGATGAAAACGATGTTGAACCAAGAACAGTGGAAGAATGTCGACACAGGAGTGATTGGCCAAAGTGGAATGAGGCAATGCAAGGTGAGTTAAAGTCACTTGAAAAACGAGAAGTTTTTGGAAAAATAACTCTTACACCAGCAGGTTTAAAACCCGTTGGATACAAATGGGTATTTGTGAGAAAACGTAATGAGAAAAATGAAATAGTTAGATACAAGGCAAGACTTGTAGCACAAAGGTTTTCTCAAATTCTAGGGATTGATTATGAAGAAACATATTCTCCACTAGTTGATGCATCTACATTAAGATTTCTGGTAAGCTTAACAGTCACAAAAGGACTTCAAATGCGATTAATGGATATAGTGACTGCGTATTTGTATGGGTCACTTGATACAGACATTTATATAAAAGTCCCCAAAGGACTAAAGCTACCAGAAAACCACAAGCCTAGACAATTACATACTTTCCATAAAACTAAAAAGGTCACTTTATGGATTGAAACAATCTGGGAGGATGTAGTATAACCGTCTCAATGAATACCTTATGAAAGAAGGGTTCAAGAACAACCAAATTAGTCCCTATGTTTTCATAAAGCGATCACAATCAGGATTCGCTATTATTGCAGTTTATGTTGATGATTTGAATATCATCGGAACCCTAAATGAACTTAAGAAAACTGCAAAATACTTGAAGAAAAAATTTGAGATGAAAGACCTTGGAAAAACTAAATTTTGCCTTGGATTGCAAATTGAGCACTTGAGTCATGGTATTTTTGTCCATCAATCAAACTATATAGAAAGAGTTTTGAAAAGATTCTTCATGGACAAAGCAACTCCAATCAACTTCCCAATGGTTGTTCGTTCTTTGAATATAAAAAACGATCCATTTAGACCCCGAGAGGAAAATGAAGAAATTTAGGGTCCAGAATTACCATACTTAAGTGCAATTGGAGCCTTAATGTACTTAGCTAACAACACTAGACCCGACATAGCTTTCTCAATGAACTTAGTAGCCACGTACAACAATGCACCAACATACAGACATTGGAAGGGAGTCCGACACTTACTCCGATACCTACGAGGGACACAAGACCTTGGTTTATATTATCAACCAAAACGAGATGCTGCTCTCGTTGGGTATGCAAACGCTGGATACTTATCAGATCCACAAAATGTCTAGTCACAAACTGGATATCTGTTCACTTACGGTGGCACTGCAATATCATGGAAATCAACAAAGCAAACATTGACCGCAACATCTTCGAATCATGCAGAGTTGATAGCTCTTTATGAAGCTGGACGAGAATGTGTATGGCTGAGGTCGATAATTAGTAATATCCAAGAAGAGTGTGAAATGGACGCAATAACTGAATATCCAACCATCATCTTTGAAGATAATATAGCATTTATCTCTCAAGTAACTGAAGGATATATTAAGAGAGATAAAACAACATATATCCCCAAAACTATTCTTCACACATGATCTACAAAAGGATGAGGAAACAGATATCCAGCAAATTCAGTCTTGTGACAACCTTGCCGGCATATTCACTAGATCATTTCCTTCGAAGAAATTTAAGCAATTAGTTCACAAAATTGGAATGCGACATCTTCGTGAACTATGCTCAAATCAGGTGGAGTGATTATATACATTGCACTCCTCTTTCCTTCGATCAGGTTTTTATCCCACTGGGTTTTTCCTGACAAGGTTTTTAACGAGGCAGTATACCAAAACATATAATACAATATCGTTATACTCTTTTTCCCCAGCTATGGTTTTTATCCCACGGGGTTTTACCTAGCAAGGTTTTTAATGAGGCCACTCATTCCTCATTTCATGGGAACGTTCAAGGGGGAGCGTTGAAGAAAATTCCAAATGAAGTTCACATGTATATTTTCCTAGGACATCAATTATATCCACAAGTACAATAAGAGGACAATCATGTATATATTTTTATTGTAAAACTTTGGCTATATAATGAGAGTTTACGTAGGAGAATCAAGGTTGGCCTAGTGGTGGGAGGCCCTCCTTCCATCCCTGTGAGAGGGGTTCGATTCTCACCCCAAGTAAGTGGGATCCCTAATTTCCCTTACTTGTAAGGGAATTCTTCTTACCTTAAAGGAAAAAAAAAAAAGAAAAAAAAGAGAGTTTACGTATTACCATACTACTACAATTCACCCATCTTCTTTCACTTCTTCTTTTACTTCTCCTTTTTACTGATCAAAATATTCTATCGGTAAATTTTTTTTTAACATATCTTAAATTATTGATGTATGTTTATTATTTTTATTTTTTTTAGAAAGGGTTAAGAAAGATAAAAATTCATGCTACTAACTTAGAAGATAAAGACATATTTTGGAGAATAAAATGGATTTCTAAGAAAAAATACCCCTCTTGCGTGGCTCTGTAAGGTTTCTCTCCTGTTGTGTGGGCCTTAAATTGTGGTTTCTTTTGTGAGGAAGAAGAGTTTATAGGTGGGGGTATTTTTGGTCGTAATCATTTATCACTTAATTTAACAGAATTAACAGTGTATTTCTTCTGTCCTTGAGGAAAATATGGTCAGGATTATTTCTAAAATTTTAAATATGTTATGACAAGCTATCTATATACTTGTATAATTCTTTACCTTTCCACCGCATCAATAGAAAATAGGGCATTATACATTTTCAATATTATCATGTACTGACGGTTTTTCCCCCTCATATTAGGGCCGTCTGAAATAAAAATCTAGCTTATAGTTGTTACAAACCTCAATAACTAGCACATCATCTTATTAATAAAAAGATAATTAGGAAATATATTGTCTTTATTAGGAGTCATTCTCACTATTTCATATTAATCCAACTGAAAACAATTCGTGTTTTGAATTTTATGTCAATTAAAGTATCAAAATCACAACATCAATGTATAACGAGGTTAAGTACACTTCCGTAATACATATTCCTATGACCAATTCGTTTTTCAACATCAATAAAATTAAATTATCGAACCCCTTTTAACCCATCATGTTATAAGAGTATAAGTATAATACTAATATAAAAGTGGAAAAGGTAATCACTTTTTAATTTTTTCAATTATTAAAAAATTTGCGCACTAATCATCACTAGTCATAAAAACATACTTAGGGTGTCTAAACTTTCCACTAAATTTTCCAACTTACCACTTAAATTTATGAAAAAGAATGACCAAGTCCTTCCAAGAAACAATACACCCCCAACAACTCTCATTCCTAACTCTACTATATATATCCCTCGAATTTATCCTTACACATTAAAGAAAATCTTCCAGGAGAAAGTAACCCAAAAACAAAAATAATAGGGTCAAATTACATGAAATAAAAATTAAAAATCCCGTATTTTTTTCTCCCCTGTTTTCCCCTGTTTCAAAACTGGGCATTAAGCTTCAATTATCCAAGAAAAAAATTGAAAAAAAATGGAGGGAAATAGTAGAGGTTGGGGAAGAAATATGAGCAGAAATTTAAGCAGAAATGTGAGCTCAAGTTGGGGAGTAGAGGATGTATTTAGTAGCCAATCGCGGCGTAGTGTAAGGGCACATGAAGAAGATGAAGAAGCATTAACATGGGCTGCCCTAGAAAAACTTCCCACTTATAACAGGTTAAGGACTAGTGTCCTTAAATCTTATGCTCAAAGTCAAAATCAAAGTAAGATTTCTCATAAAGAAGTTGATGTTAGGAAGCTTGATGTCAATGATAGAATTGAGTTCATTGATAGATTGTTCAGAGTTGCTGAGGAAGACAATGAAAAGTTCTTAAGAAAACTTAAAGACAGAATTGAGAAGTAAGTGTTTTTATTTTATTTTTTTTCATTATTATCGAATATTATGTTATATGGTTTTATTGATTAATTTTACTTTTTTTTTTTTTTTTTTGAACAATATTGATTAATTTTACTTGAATAAGCATGAAAAATAATACTTCTATATCATTAAGGTTTGATACTTTGATGATTGTTCTTTAGCTTTTTTCTTTAGTTAGGTATGCATGTGAGGTTGTGGGTACGTTATAATCTTGTTTGTTGATCAAAAGTATAGAAGCACATAGTTTGATCTTCATGTTCTAGTTATGAGGTTAGTATCACTCGTGTTTGGAAAAAGTTGTCACCATTTATATGATAATAATGAGTCGTGAATTTGTTTACAGTAGATATTTATATTTCTTCCAAGGTTGAAATAGTGAGAAGATTACGATGACGACTGAACTACCACAAAGAGAAATTTATTGAAACGGAGATAATAAATATAATTCTGGTACAAGTGAAAGGTGATTGATCAAAATGGATAATAATGAATAAAAGAATATGACAAAATAAAATGTAAATAATACAATTGGTGGACCTATGTCATTGATAACCATAGGTGGTTGTTAAAATGGATTTGTTATAAAATTGAGCAACTTGTAAGAAATTTGTACTCGTGTTTCTTATAATGCATGAAATTTTATATGCGTGTTCAAGGAAACCTGCTTACGCATTGTATTCTAGCTTTTGTATATTGCTTTTCCGTGTATCTTTTTCACTAATTATTGTTGGTGGTTGCTACTTTTGTGAAGCATTTGTGATTTATTTAATAAAATAGAAGAGCATACATTTCAATCAATTAGTTAATAATTTGCTTTCTCAAAGCTATCTAAAAGAATGAAAGTTCAACATTTGTCTTTTCTTTTTTTTATTTTGTTTTGTCATCTGTTTTTGTCAAGGTTATATCACATTATCACATCACCATTGTGGACTCGAGTCATTCAAAATTGACTATTTTTGATTTTTAATTAGAAAATTATATTCTCTCCCACCAAAAGTATTTTTCAAAGTTATTCTAACTTCTTATTGTTAAGCGCAAGGGCATACAAGGTGATCAATAATATGAATAAAAATAAGAAATATTACATATTTTTCCGAATTAATTAAATGACGAAATTTTAAACGAACCTTGAATCATCAATAGTAAAATTCTTGATTCAATTGACATAAACACAATTAATGATTATAATTGAAGAATTTGAATTGTAGTTGCGGTTATTTTAATTTTTTTATTTATTATATAATCAATAATTTTTTAGTGTCAATGTTTAGATAATTTGGACCCTTTTTTTATATAAAATATTCTATACACCCACCCTAATATATAATTAAACAAATTAACACTTGTCATCTTACCAACTTTATTTATTTTTTTAATCTTAATAATTATGATTAATCTTATCTTAATGTTTATTACAGGGTTGGGATTCAGCTTCCAACAGTTGAAGTAAGATTCGAGCATTTAACGGTAGAAGCAGATTGTTATGTCGGTACAAGAGCTCTTCCAACCCTACCAAATGCTGCTCGTAATTTTGCTGAAGGAATCCTTGGTTTGATTGGTATTAGACTGGCTGAAAGGAAAAAGCTCACTATCCTTAAAGATATATCTGGCATTGTTAAACCATCAAGGTATAATTATTATGAGCCGAACACGACATATTCTTTTCATATTTTAAGCACATAAATGTGTACATATACCTCTATATGATGTGATACCTGATACGTGTAAATTAAAACATAGCCTACTTAACACACGTGTTTCACATAATGCATTATACTATTGTCGATGTACAATATGTCATATGTGTACATATTAGTACACATATAGGAGGACGGTTACAAAGAGATTAAAAAAAATTACGTAGTAGAAAGGAAAAAAGTTTAACAAATGATAAAAGTACTCCATTATAGTACAGTAATTAAGTGTGAAGAAGACAAAATGTAGATATGGAAAATCATATGACTATTACCACTTTGATCAAAATGTCAAAAATGAGGCAACTTTTGTGTTGAAGAAATTGGCCATAGTAAATAAGTAAGATACGGAGTAGAAATTTGTTACATTTTGTTTGAAAATTTATGGTAAATTTTATTTTGCAGGATGTGTTTATTGTTAGGCCCACCTTCATCAGGAAAGACAACTCTCTTGTTAACTTTCGCTGGAAAGCTGGACCCTTCTTTGAAGGTACTTGTTTATAACAATAATTCATTATGATTACGACTAAGGTTATGGTTATGGTTATGGTACACGTATTGATGTAAAATGGACTAATAATACGACTAATCATGGTGATTACTCGTATATATACTATGTATGAACTCGGTGTAACACGTATGTTTGGTGACGGTTTATGATCAGGTAAAGGGTGAAGTGAGTTACAATGGACATAGGTTAGATGAATTTGTACCACAAAAGACATCAGCATACATTAGTCAAAATGATGTCCACATTGGATCTATGACTGTCAAAGAAACTTTGGATTTTTCTGCTCGTTGCCAAGGAGTTGGTTCTCGTTATGGTAAATTATCTAATAATTAACTTTATCTTAATTTTATGCGTATTATTTTTAGAAGTATTCTAATCATGAATTTATAATTATGATATACAGAACTTCTAGCTGAACTTGCGAAGAGAGAAAAAGAACATGGTGTTAAGCCTGATCCAGAAGTTGATCTTTTCATGAAGGTAAATTCCATAATTTAAAAAATATACATCAATCATGAGAAAACAAATTTAATTTCATTTATCTAATTTTTTTTTTTTTGTTACTCCCTATATACGAATTATATGATGACTTAATATTTATTTCAGGCAACGGCTATGGAAGGAGTTGAAAGTAATCTTATTGTGGACTACACCCTCAGGGTAAGTTGCGTTATTAATTATCTCGCGAAGTTCAAATTACACTATTAACACGATGATTAGAAGAGTATGATTTTCGTGTTTTGTTTATTGACTACGGTCCCCTCTAAATCAGCAGCCAGAATTAGGTCGAGAAAATGAGCACCAAAATAATTAAAAATTTGACCATTTTTGTCAAAAGTAGGTTCTCACCTACTAAATTTTATTCTCTGGACAGATATGGATTTATATACGCTAGTGGTCATACTTTATCTAGTTGTATTAGAGATAGTGTCATATGAATCTCTAATTTGGGTTGGTGAACCACTCTTTTTCTTCTTCTTCATGCAAGTTGAAGTGGAAGGCACCAAATCAACGTCTCTCTTCAACTCCACAATTTTGTAAATTTAATTTTTCATAACCGACACATTTAAAATTTAATTAGGAAAAATAATAATTATTATAATCATAATAATAATAAATAACAAAGTAAGGAATTGAAATTATAATATTATCTTTAAGTGCATCTTGTGTTTGTCTGGCCACACTATGCGGCTATTTGTAAAAGAATTAAGTAATCTCTATAACACTGACCGAGTAATCCTTATAATATTATCTGATGAGTAACTCATGTAACACTGATGAAGTAATCCCTGTAATACTGACCAAGTAACCCCTATAACACTAACAAAGTAATCTCCATGATAATGATTTATCACACGGTGTAACCAACCACATATAAGAATGTGTGATTATCTTTTATCCATTCATAATGTACATATCCGTTCATAACGTACATAAGTACATTATGCACTATTACAAACTTTACTTCTTTCTAAGGGTAGCTTTGTCTTTTTAATACCTATATGTATATGTCAGAACTCAGAGAAAATGATATGAATATGATTGATTATAAAATGAGCACCTCCATCTTGCACTAAAATACTAAGACTTTGAGAGTACCACACAATATTTATGATAGTGACATACAAGTGTTGTAATTTTGTTAAAATGGTAGGTCATGATCTGAAATTAAACAACATGAATAAAGATGGTTTTATCTAGTTATAAATTTGTACTTAAAATATTTTGTTAATAAGTTATTTTTCATATCATTGCATGACATAATATTTTATGGAACAGATTCTGGGACTAGATATATGCCGAGACACTCTTGTTGGTGATGACATGCTACGTGGTATCTCTGGTGGACAAAAGAAACGTGTCACCACAGGTCATTTTCGTAATTTCACAACTATTTATGAATATTATTGACTACTCCTAATTTAACCTTTTTCATCCTATTTTTTTCAATGTGGAATTTATTTTTTGTTTGTTCTTCCTCCATTTAATAAATGATTCAATACCAAATTAACCTTAGCCTTTCAATAAAGATAAAACCATAGCCTAGAAGAATTTATTTGTGTGGTTTGATATTGATCAACAAATTGCTACTTTGTGTCTGTCGATGAAAATAACACCGATATATGTGATGTTGTGACAACAATAAGTGACGATTTTTCTTTGATGGTACCTCGACACTATATTCATGACAAATAAAAGAATTATACCATATAACATAGTTACATATTCACCATTGATGGTCATCCTCTATTAATCTCAATGTTATAACTTTAGATATTTTACGTATAACAGTTATATAAATAGAACGTGTATCCATTTTAAACTAATTAGCACCTAACTAACTCGTTTATTTGTCGAATATTTAAAAATTGCAGGTGAAATGATAGTAGGCCCAACAAAGGCATTGTTCATGGATGAAATATCAACTGGGCTGGATAGTTCTACTACTTTTCAAATAGTGAAGTGTTTGCAACAAATAGCCCATTTATCTGATGCAACCATCTTAGTGTCACTGCTTCAACCTGCTCCTGAAACATTTGACCTTTTTGATGATATCATCTTATTATCTGAAGGCCAGATTGTATACCAAGGCCCTAGAGAACATGTTGTTGAGTTCTTTGAAAGTTGTGGGTTTCGTTGCCCCGAACGAAAGGGTACAGCCGATTTCCTCCAAGAGGTAAATTTTCTAAGCCTACGGTCTACATAAATTAATGATCAAAGTTGTATATTGTCAAACGTTAAACTGAAAGTGTTGTGAATATTTCTAAACCACGTGTGATAAATGTTATTTATAGGTTACTTCGAAAAAGGATCAGGAACAATATTGGGCCGACACAAGCAAGCCATACAGGTACATACCGGTATCTGAATTTGTGACCCGATTTAAGCGGTTCCATGTTGGGCTAAGGCAAGACAATGAGCTTTCGGTACCATATGACAAGGCCCAATCTCACAAGGCAGCTCTAGTATACAAGAAATACTCTGTCCCATACAAGGAACTTCTCAAGGCATCTTTTGACAAGGAGTGGTTGCTTATTAAGAGGAACCCCTTTGTGTACATTTTCAAGGCTATACAAATCATGATTATCGCGATCATTACATCAACAGTGTTCATAAGAACCAAGATGCATACTAGGAATGAAAATGATGGAGCTTTATACATGGGAGCCCTGATTTTCACTCTGATTATTAACATGTTTAATGGTTTTGCTGAAATGGCTATGATCATGCAAAGACTTCCTGTGTTCTATAAGCACAGGGATCTTCTTCTTCACCCTGCTTGGACTTTCACCTTACCAAGTTTCTTGCTCGGTATTCCAATATCGATTTTTGAATCAATTGTTTGGACTTCTATGACATACTATTCCATTGGATTTGCACCTGAAGCTAGCAGGTATGATAAAAAGTTCAGCAAATACTTCTTTGTATAAAAATACTCCAGTTTTAAATAGGAGTATACATTATGTTACAGTCTATTATAAGTTTTATAACATGATTTTCTTCCATTTTCAGATACTTCAAGCAACTTCTATTGGTGTTCCTTATTCAACAAATGGCTTCTGGAATGTTTCGTGTTACAGCCGGGTTGTGTAGGACTATGATCATTGCAAATACCGGAGGAGCTCTAAGTGTCCTCCTTATGTTCATGCTTGGAGGTTTCATCCTTCCTAAAGGTCAGTTCTCATATTAAATCTTTTGAATTTGCTTGGATTTTATGATCTTAATATACATTGGAATGGAATATTGATTGTGTATTTACATATTTAATCAGCCTTAATACCCAATTGGTTGCAATGGGGATATTGGGTGTCACCTTTATCGTATGCATTCAACGCTCTTGCTGTGAATGAGATGTTTGCTCCGCGTTGGATGAACAAGCCGGTAAGATTTCTGTGCAATTTTAATGTCTTTCATTGAATTACATGATACTATCATTAAAATAGCTTAGAATATAATTTAAATTTTTGACATTCGAAATAATCTGCAGGCATCAGATGGTGTAACTCCTTTAGGTGTACAGGTGCTGAAGAACTTCAGTGTCTTCACAGACAAAAATTGGTATTGGATTGGAGCAGCTAGCCTTGTCGGCTTTATAGTAGTTTTGAATCTGATCTACACTCTTGCACTTACCTACCTAAATCGTAAGTATATCGGAGTTTTTCAAATGACATGAAGCAAAAATTTATCATTCTGTAGCTAAAATTATTGTTCCCTTTCATGTAAATAGCCATTGGAAAGCCACAAGCAACAATCGCTAAAGAGGATGAAGATGACATGGAAGATGAGCACTCGGTAAAAAAGCATAAGAAAAACTTATCTTCTGCTGATGGAAACAATACAAGTAAGAGCATTAACTATAAACATGCAAGTTAAGAGTATCGCGATTGCCTAGATCTGGTTATTCATGTTGTGTTTCAAAAACTTTTACAGGGGAGTTGGCACTTCAAAGAATAATGAGTCGGTCCAATCCTAACGGATTTAGCAGAAATGATGATGGTTCTGTTGAGGTGACAAATGGGGTTGCTCCTAAGAGAGGCATGGTCCTCCCTTTTACTCCACTTGCTATGTCTTTCGATGATGTGAGCTACTTTGTTGACATGCCTCCGGTGAGTGAAATCTTTGCCATGTACTTGTCTTGATTAAAGCAAAGAATTTTCCCAAGGAAATATTTTACTAAACCCAATCTTTAATTTTGGGCAATATTAGGAAATGAAGGAACAAGGGGTGCCAGAAGATAGGCTTCAACTCCTTCGAGAAGTGACCGGTGCATTTAGGCCAGGAATTCTAACTGCTCTTATGGGTGTTAGTGGAGCTGGAAAGACAACACTAATGGATGTTCTAGCTGGAAGAAAGACAGGAGGTTACATTGAAGGCGATGTCAGAATCTCTGGTTTCCCTAAAAAACAAGAAACTTTTGCTAGAGTTTCTGGTTATTGTGAACAAACTGATATCCATTCTCCTCAAGTAACAGTCAAAGAGTCTTTGATATACTCAGCTTTCCTCAGGCTTCCTAAAGAAGTCTCCAAGGAAGAAAAACTTGTAAGAATTCCATTTTCGATGATTTTTACTACACGACCTTGTTATCTTCACCTGATTTTTACTGAACTAAAAGTCAAAAAATGATATTTACTAATACTAACTTAACATTATTTTTTCCTGTTAATGAAGACCTGGCCTTGTACATGTGATGTGAAACTAATGAGTTCATTACCTTTATCTAATAGGTTTTTGTTGACGAAGTGATGGAATTAGTAGAGCTCGACAGCCTTAAGGATGCAATAGTAGGGTTACCAGGAATAACAGGGTTATCAACAGAACAAAGGAAGCGGCTCACCATTGCAGTAGAGCTTGTTGCTAATCCCTCAATCATCTTTATGGACGAGCCGACTTCAGGTCTTGATGCAAGGGCTGCGGCCATTGTGATGAGGACAGTAAGAAACACTGTCGATACAGGAAGAACTGTTGTTTGCACAATTCATCAACCTAGTATTGATATCTTTGAAGCTTTTGATGAGGTACTTAACACTCTTTTTAGAGTAAAGTTTATTTAGTTATATTTCACTTTCATCTTTAATAATGTGCAATGGTTATGTTTTCCAGCTTCTTTTGATGAAAAGAGGAGGACAAGTTATATACTCAGGGCCATTAGGTCGAAACTCACGCAAGGTCATCGAGTATTTTGAGGTAACTATGGTTTAATTTTCAACACCTTGTGCAAATATTAACTTAACATATTATCTAACTAGAATATTAATCAAATCATTTTAGTCAATTCCTGGAGTCCCAAAAATCAAAGAGAAGTACAACCCTGCAACATGGATGTTAGAAGTCAGCTCTATCGCAGCTGAAATGAGGCTAGAAATGGACTTTGCTGAGTATTATAAGTCATCATCACTTTACCAGTAAGTTGATCAAATTCGCTTTCCAAATTACATTAACATGATACTGATTTTACCATTTACATGTATTAACTATGTGTTCATAACTGTTGAGCAGAAGAAACAAGGCACTGGTAAAGGAGCTAAGTGTACCACCAGCAGGAGCTAAAGACTTGTACTTTTCGACTCAATTTGCTCAATCGTTATGGGGCCAATTCAAATCATGCCTTTGGAAGCAATGGATGACTTATTGGAGAAGTCCTAGCTATAATCTTGTCAGATACTTCTTCACCTTGGCTGCTGCTCTTATTGTTGGAGCTATCTTTTGGAGAGTTGGAACTAAATTGTAAGTATTATGTTTCATCCGAACCATGTCTCACCTTTTTCTACACACCCTCCATTCAGAATTAGTAGTAATTAACAGATGCCTTTTACAATATGTGACTACTAATTCCAGACCAGAAAAAACAAGTATAAGTGAATGACTGATCAGGTTTTAGCCTATATTAACAATTTCTACGACTTATATTGACAGGGACAACGCAAATAATCTAACCATAGTCATTGGAGCCATGTATGCTGCTGTACTCTTCGTTGGAATCTGTAACTGTGGAACAGTACAGCCGGTGGTGGCTGTTGAGAGAACAGTCTTCTATAGAGAAAGAGCTGCAGGAATGTACTCTGCATTGCCATACGCCATTTCACAGGTAAGCGCAAAGTTCAGCATACTTGTGATGACTTAATCTAATGTCATAAATTGAATTTGTACATTTGGGATGTATATAGTTTAACATGACCTCATTTGTGTTCATACAGGTTGTTGTTGAAATACCTTACATATTCGTGCAAGCGGCATACTACTCAATCATAGTGTATGCTATGGTGAGCTTCCAATGGACTGCAGGAAAGTTCTTCTGGTTCTTCTTTATCACATTGTTCTCCTTCCTTTACTTCACCTACTACGGTATGATGACCGTCTCCCTAACACCAAATCACCAAGTTGCTTCCGTGTTTGCTGCTGCTTTCTACGCTCTCTTCAACCTCTTTTCCGGCTTCTTCATTCCTAGACCAGTAAGTCCTTTACCAACTTCCTGTTTTCAAACATCAGCATAACAGATAATATATATTGGAAACTAAATATTTGTATGTTTTGGTTGTGAATTTCAGAAAATACCAAAATGGTGGGTATGGTACTACTGGATCTGTCCTGTGGCATGGACAGTTTACGGGTTGATAGTGTCACAATATGGTGATCTAACACAAACGATCCAAGGCACGGGGATGACACCCGATCCAATGATTAAAGATTACATTCAAATACATTTCGGGTATGAACCTGATTTTATGGGTCCAGTAGCTGTGGTTTTGGTCGGATTCACGGTGTTCTTCGCCTTCTTGTATGCTTACTGCATTAGGACACTCAACTTCCAAATGAGGTAGGGAGCTTAGAGTAGTCAGTACATGTATAAACCAAAAAATAAAAACAGTTAACTATTATTTGCCTTCATATACATCTTGAAGAGAAAGTTGTAAATATGAGAATCATGTGAGATTAACTAGCTAGATCAATATTTTTATGTATGGGGAAATATAGAAGTATGTGCATATATTTCCCAATAGTATGATTTGGTAGTATTGCATTGTGTAATGTGAAATTGTATATTGATTATATAATATATAAATTTCAATTTTGGCTCACTAGTTTGTTATTGCTAGTTTGCTTCTTTATTGTTTGTTCAATACCAGCTGAACCGTTACTCTCTTAATCCCTTAAACTTTTGTACCAATTTGACCCCAAAAAGCTACCACAAAAAATGGTATAAAAAAAATTATGAAAAGATAGAGAAGTTTCCCCACTTTTATAATTAATTCCCCACTTTTAAACTTCTCTATCTTTCTCTATCTCTTTAGCTTTATCATTCTGGAGTAGTGTAAAAGTGGGGAATTTATTATAAAATGAGTTAATGAGGGAATGACAAATTTTCAAAAAAAATTACTCATCTAAATTTGAAAAAATTAGAAATAATAATCTCAACTTTCATGAATTTTGCTAGAATAATCCCAATTTTGGATTATTCTGAAATAATCCGAACTTTGGAGGCTGTTGATTTTCTTCAATCCCAAATACCGGTTACCGGTTGAATGGGTTAAAAAAAATTATTGTTAAAGTGACACGTGTTGCAAATTAATTGGTTAAAAAATATATATAAAAAAAAACCCGCCCAGCCAATCCAGCAACCTACCCAGCCCAGCCAACTCCCTCACCGGACCGTTGTCCCTCCCCTACCACTAGAGTCGCCGCTTCGGCGCTTCCCTCTAAACCACCGTCCCCCTTTCCCGAAACCCCCACGCAACCACCAATAAAACCCCTCCCCCATTTCGAAAACTTCCAACCACCACTCCGCTTACCCCGAAACCCTGACGGCTAAGGTTTTCGAAGGTGAGGAAGTGGCTGTTGGGGGTTTTCGAGAGTGGGGGAGGGGTTTCGAGGGTGTTTCGAATGGTTGGAGGGGTTTAGAGGGAGTTTCAGTTGTGGAGGGCGGAAAATCAAATCGGAAAAGGAGGGGATTGGGGGTGGAGGTGGGTCACAACACCGGCAGAGGGGGATTGGACCAACTACAGCTTGACACGTGGCACATAACCTGTTATAACAGGTCATTGACTTTTATTGACCGGTTTGGGATTGAAGAAAATCAACAACCCCCAAAGTTAGGATTATTCTAGCAAAATTCATGAAAATTGGGATTATTATTTCTAATATTTCCTTTAATATTGTGTTCTTATTTTAAAATCTTAAAATGAGAAAAAGAAAAAAAAAACAATCAAATGAGAAAAAAAAATCACTGAAGTGTATATAAAAGGTGTTATTCTCGAATCAATTGCAACACACACGAGATTTTAGGCACGAGAAATTTGGATTTATTCATTATTCCAAGAGTTGTTTTTTTTTTTTTTTTTTAAGTCCATTATCCCAAGAGTTCGTACGGCCATAATCTGTCCACTTCTTAGCATCTTATCCAACACTCCCTCTATTCCTAATTTTTTGCCCCATTGTAAAAATATAGGGCAAACTCTAAAATCTTTCTTTGACCATTATATATTCTTAATCTATAATAGATAATACAATCGTGTGCGATCTTGTTAGACTAGTCTCATTGTATATTTTATTAATATCTAACTAGTTTTTAAACTTTAAAATTTTAAAGACGGAGGAAGTAGTAATTTATGTTTTGTATATACATATAAATGAATACTTGTATATCCATCCAATGACGGAACTAGATTAGTGAGAAGAATTGAACTTGAGACATAAGGAACTCAATTTTTTACACAAAACCAACTCAGCTACAATTCAATCAACATAACTTCATGCCAATATTTAATAGAGAACCAAAATCAAGGGAGAGGCCAAGGCCCACCCTAGCCCCCTTGACTCCGTCCCTGTGTATATCTTTAAATAAGTACAAAAGAAAAGATAATAAAAAAAAAAATTACTAACGTTATTTTTTAAGACGTAATCCGATGTAACAATCAGACCACACACTAGTTTTCTTACCCTATCTCTATTTCATATTAACTGCAATAATAAAGGGTAGGAATATTATTTGTGAAATTGTAACGAAGGAAATCATTGTACCACGTGGAAAATGAAAAATATAATTTTGTAAAATAAAAATAGTTGACTGTTGCCAGTTTCCACCAATATTACACCATTTGTCGCGAGACTTGAGAAAACGCCATTGAAGATCAAAATTCGAAGCCTTTTTCCAGGTATAAATTCCTCACATCCCTTTATCTTTATCGTTCTACCTTTCTTTCTCTGATATTTTCTTTCTTTTATAACCCATCTTTTTCTGTATTTTTGTTTCATAATTTAATGCTGATTGCTGCTCGCTAATTAGGGCTTTATCTGCATTTGTAATTAATCTTTTCATACTATGTCGTCTCGATTTAATCATTAGAATTCCCAGTTTTTTTAATCTTTTGTGATTGATTTTTACGATTCTATGATATAAATTTCTTTCTTTGAAGACTCGAATAAGGGTTTATGATCTCGTCCTTTTAGAAAAAAAATTGTGATTTGATCAGATTATAGATAAATTGATTATTCAATTAAAGATGTATTGCTTCGATTTTATGAATTTGTCGGTTCAGTATTCGCATTGGTATATCTTCAAATTTGATCTGTTGTGTTATCTTACGAGGTGTAAATTCAAGCTGTTAAAATTTGATTTTTTTTTTTTTGGGGTTATTTTCTGGCATTGAAGGTTTAAATTGATGAATTTTGGAAGATATCGAAAAATTATAAGTTTATAAAGAAGATTGATAATGACTTGGGTCTTGCGTTATTCTTTGGAATTGTCAGTGCTTAATGTAGCGAAAGGGGAGGGGGTTAGGGGGAGGATTTAAGCAATTAAAATTAGGAATTGCTGTTACAAAAACCCGTAATTTAGAGAGGATGGATATTGTACATTTATTCTACTTTAGTTTCGTTTGCACGGTATGGGAGAATGAGGGGTGGCTGGACTTCTGTGATGACCATGAAACCAGAATCGGCTGAATACGGCATTGGTGATAGACGAGGGATGGAGAGGTATTAGCCTTGTTTAACTTGTTGAGGGTGTCAGATGACAGACCAGAATTTCTTGCTAATAGCCTTATGTGAGCAGGGGGTGGCTAGACTTCTGTGATGACCGTGAAACCAGAACCGGCTGTAATTGGAACAAGTACAGCCTTGATGGACGGAGAGGTATTACCCTGTTAACTTGTTGAGGGTTTCAGCTGACAGACCAGAATTCCTTGCTAATAGCCTTATGTGAGTATTATAATTTACCTAAGAGATTGATGGTGGGTTGATGGTTAGTGATTCTTCAAGATACTAACATACTTACATTTATGTATGGACTCTGGCAAACACTGTGGAGAATATATGGGGGACGGCGATGTCTGCCTTGTTGAATAGAGAGAAAGAAGTTAGAAATTGTATAATTGAGGAGAAATTAAATAAGGGTGAATATTTCAAATGAGTATTGTTTCTTTGCTATATTAGCCATTTACGAGTAATTTGCTTCAGATTATCTTTTGATCTTACCAATTGAAAATTCATTGACATTTTCATACAGTAATTGCTAAGAGCAATAGAGTTCAGATTTAAATAGGCTGGCCGATTGACTGCTTCATGATTCTTTCTTTTTTAGTAATTGTGGAAATTAGCATTCTTTCATGGTTTTATAGACAGATATTTCAATCGTGATTTCAATTCATTTCTTCATTTATGGATACCCAATCATTGACAACTGCATCGTCAATTTGTCACAGAAGAAAGGGTAGTTCGTGTCAGTGAGAAACCATGGGAATACAGAAGATTGAGACCGGTCACCAAGATACAGTACATGATTTTCAAATGGATTACTATGGAAAACGTATAGCCACAGCATCATCTGACCACACAATCAAGATTATTGGGGTGAGCAACAATTCCCACCAGCACCTTGCTACCCTCAGTGGTCACCAAGGCCCAGTTTGGCAGGTTGCTTGGGCTCATCCAAAGTTTGGGTCGATCCTAGCTTCATGTTCTTATGATGGGAAGGTCATAATCTGGAAGGAAGGTAATCAGAATGAGTGGTCACAAGCTCATGTCTTTGATGATCACACATCCTCAGTTAATTCAATCTCATGGGCGCCTCATGAGCTTGGACTTTGTCTTGCTAGCGGATCATCAGATGGGAATATTATGTTCTATACTATGAGGTCTGATGGTGGTTGGGATTCAAATAAGATAGACCAAGCTCACCCTGTTGGAGTGACCTCTGTTTCTTGGGCACCCGCCACTGCTCCTGGTGCTCTTGTAGCTTCTGGAGTACATGATCCTGTCCAAAAACTCTGTTCAGGAGGTTGTGACAATACGGTGAAGATTTGGAAACTCAATAATGGGATTTGGAAGATGGATTGCTTCCCAGCTCTCCAAATGCACACTGATTGGGTTAGGGACGTTGCTTGGGCACCAAATCTAGGGCTCCCAAAATCCACTATTGCAAGTGCATCACAAGATGGGAAGGTGATTATATGGACAGTCGCAAGGGATGGTGATCAGTGGGAGGGCAAGGTCTTGAATGATTTCAAGACCCCAGTCTGGAGGGTGTCGTGGTCCCTAACGGGCAACATCTTGGCTGTTGCAGATGGTAACAACAATGTGACATTGTGGAATGAGGCTGTTGATGGGGTTTGGCAAATGGTTTCTACCGTTGATTCTTGAGATGGAATAATTTATTGAGTAACTTCTTCTTGGTATGTTCAGAGTATGTTCTCTAGTAACTTTGCGCGGGAATTTTAGATCTTTTTTCTGCTTCTCTCGCTGCTTTTGTCTGTCCTCTTTGAATTACATGATTGTGTTCTGTTGGAATATTGTTCACATTCAAGTTCCCGAAAATGCTAACATGGCATTCATTAGATTTTAATCATCTTATCATTCTTTGCCCAGGGAAGGCTAAAGGCTTTAATGTATTATACTGATAATAGAGAGTTTAAATTGTTCAAAAATAATTACTCCCCTTCGCAGTAGAAAAGTAATTTCGGGAAATCTGCTGTGCAGAAAAGTGCGACATGAAGTGGAACAAATGGTTGTTTTCTTTTTTTTTACGTCAAGGCTAAATAATGTATGTAAATCAGAGTTATACTGAGTTTCTGAATTTCCCTCGACAGTTCTAGATTCAAGTCAATTTTTAGCCTCTTTCCATCCGCCAATTCTGCAATTGCTTGCAAAATTAGATCGTAGACTTGTGTTCAATAACTGATGATTTAAGATTTCTGGAGTTTTATCTATTATTTTCTCCGGTGAAGAGGTCCAATAGGATAGATGTAAAGCTTTGGGTAGGTTGTTTCAACTTTGGGTAGAATACTCGAAACGATTTCTGGTATAGTTCTAAAACATGAAGCTAGGCATGAATTGATTAATTGTCTGTAACATTCCTCCGGTGTATAAATAGATGTTTTCACACTAATCAAACATTCAAACCTGAGCAAATTAAACAGCTTCCAAAATCCCGATAATGTTGACATGTTCTTAAACAGACGATTCCTAAATTCAGATTTCAAAATGCCTGAACTCTAGAATCGAAATCGAGCCTTTAGTTCAGTTGAAAGACTGTGACTCACATCTAAATATGAATTATAAAATAAAAATTCAGATATCATGCATATTGCCTAATCATGATCCTGAAGCGTTTTTTTTTTTTTAAGGATGAAGTAGATTAATGTACCATAATTACATTAGTGCTTGTTTACATTAATGACAAAATTTTCAACCTTTTTTCTCATTCCACGTTGAAGGAATGCATTTGAATAAAGACATCAAACCTACAATACGGGAAGAACCTTAGTGATTGTGGGGTTGATTATAAAGTTTTTGGAGATTTTCGCTATTAAAATTGATTTTTACTCGTAATTCCGTTTTACTTTATACTCCCCCTAATAAATTATAAGCGAAACGTTTTAACTTTTGCATCATTCACCTAATCCATTTTGACTAATGTTAATAATTTATACCTAAGAAAAATAGCCTTGTGAGTAATTGTTGGAGTCGTATCAATGTATCGTTTATCAATTTTCAATTGTTAATTTATAATCATTAAGTATTTATCAAGTTATCAAATTAACAACTCCCTCCGTCCCCATTTGATTTGTGAATTGCTATTTGCCACAATAGAATTACTCAAATTATGGTATTAAATGACCTCCATGCCCCTTTTAATTTTGAAAATTACACACTCATCTAACCATCACTAACTTTGACCCACCACCTTAACATTATTGTCAACTTGACCCACTACACTAACCTTGACCCTCTAAGCCATGGCTCCACCTCGACCATCGGCTCCACCACCCATATCGCCACTAACATTGACCATCCACCACGACGGGTCCACCTTGGCAACCAGCTTGACCACCAACATTGTAGATTCCACGACGGTTGACCACCAACATTGTACTTTCCGAACACTAAAATGAGCCAACAACGGTCCGCATTCATATCCGAAGCACTTGGTGGAGACGACAAATCTTCGATGACGTCGTTGAGTCAAGTATATGCCGTACCTTTTTTTTTAATTCCGATGTACCCGGTCGCATGTAATACGCAACTGAACTATGGTATGACCGCATGTAATATGCGACTATACCATGGTATAGTCGCATGTAATATGCAACTGCACCATGGTATAGTAGCGTATTCCATGCGACTATACCACATGTTACATGCGGTCATACCATGGTATAGTCGCATGTAATACGCAACTATACCATGGTACAGTTGCATATTACATGCAATGGTATAGTTGCATATTACAGGCGGTCGTGTACCGTTAAATTTAAAAAATAAAAACTTTAATTATAATTAAAAATAACAAAATACATTTAATTTAATTAGTAAATTTACGATGATTTTTTTTTTTAATATTATTATTTGTTTTCTAATCAATTTAATTTAATTTGAATTTAGTGGTGAGAAAATTGGGTGAGGCCAAATATTAAATTTATAAGGGTAGAGAGGTCATTTAATGCCGCAACATAAGTAATTCCATTGTGGCATTTAGTAACCCCCTTTGATTTTCCCATTTGTAATTTTGACACTATTTATAAGGTGAGAGTATCTTCTAAATTTCTCTTAATATACGTAGTATAAGACAACACAATCATATTGGGTCTTATTTGATTCGTCTCAATAAATAGATTATTAATATTCATTTGTTATATTTTTCACTAATAAGCAATTAACGATATTTATGGTCAAAGTGTTACATTGGTAAACGTGCACAGTTCAAATGAGAAAATCAAATAGAGAGGGAGGGAGTATATTATTAGTCATAATTTTGCATTGACATACATTATTTTACTTATGGATTTTTATTTTTAGTTACTTTTACTCCCTCTGCCCCTTAATGATAGTCCCTGATAGACAATTTTTACGAGAATTAATAAACATAAATAAGAAGTAGTAAAAGTACATTTGAAAGGTAAATTTACATTGAGTATGCAAAAAAGTAGAGAGAGAAAATAATAAAAGTATATGGAAAAGCAAAATTTACATGGAAAAGTTAAATTTGCACAAATATTGTTGCAAATTGGAGGAAATTTTAGTAAAAAATTAATATTAATGGTACTTGAAAAAAGCAAATGAGGCTATCATTTTGGGACTTAAAATTGGCCATAAGGGACTATGGTCCTGTTTAGTTCATCTTATTTTTGTTTATCTGAACTTATCTGATCTGGTCTGGTCTAATCTTATTGTCTGATTTGATCAAACTTTGACCTTAAGTGTACAATAATATGTAAGGAAAAAATACATCAAGTGGAATCTTGTTAGATTCATAATAATGTGTATTTTATTAATATGCAATTTTCATAATTTTTTTCATTACGAAATTAAAGATATGTAGCGATAAAAATTACACATAAAACGATGATCTGATCTGAACTTATTTTTTATGATCTGATCTGACGTGAACTTATTTTTTCTTAAATAAGTAAATATAAGTTGAACTAAACAAGGCCTATCAATAAGAGACGGAGGGAGTAATTGTTTGTTAGAGTTACTTATTACTCCATACTAATTAAAACTTAATTTAACTAAATTAAAAATATTATCACTGAATTAAAATTATTTATAATACTCTCGGGATATGGGTAGTCCGGTGCCACAAGTCCACAACAGCCCCATCAGTCCACAAACCTGGAGTAGGGCCTAGGCCTGTAGCACGTATTGCCAAATAAAAATAAAATAAAATAAAAAATAGAAATTGTGAAGCGTGATCGTATCGCAGCGTCTGGGTTTAATTAATTATGTGGTCTGTCTGGTAGCTAGATTCGACACGCTTCAATGACGTGTTTACATTCCACTTTTTGTTGAAATCCAAAGGGAAAGGGAGGACTTTTCTGTCTTTTTATCTCTTCTTCACTTTTTAGCCTTGGTTTCTCCGTCCGCTACTTGCCTACTTGCAGAAACTAAACAGGGGTTTCCTCTTTCCACCATCCTTTTCCTGTCAACCCAAACTTGAATGGAAAACTTAGAAGTAAACAATGTGTCTGAACCTCACAAGTAACAATAATTAAGGAAAATGGAGAAAATACATAATACTCTTGAAAGTAAAAGAATATTATATGAAAAATATAAAAAAAATTACTCATTTTTTGTTTTTATAAGTGTTACACTTTAACCGACACATATTTTAAAGCAATTTAATTTACTTAAATAAAATAAGAATTAATTGGGATAGTTGGAGTATTACAAAATTGTTAAAGAAATACAATGAAATAACTAGTTTATTAAAAAGTAATAAATGTGAGAGCGAAGAATTAGTATAAAAAAAAAATAAAAAAAAAAAAGTAATGGTGGATTTGGGTGGAGGCCATGAGAAGAGAGATATACAATATTAAAATGTAACAATTAAAAAAAAAAAAACACGGCCACGTTTTGTAAGTGACACTGTAAAAAATACAGAGGGAGTATGTAATGATATTTTGGATATATGTACATTTTACATGGGAAATGTTAGCAAAAAAATTTAATAGCACGAAAATTAACGGATGTGTACGAGAATATTATATGGAAAAAGTAAAAAAAAGTTGTGTTGATTATGATAGAAGTATGTGATTTTTAGAAACAAACATATCATTTTAGGACACCATTTTAAGAATATAGGCACACTATAATATCCATAATAAGTAGAAAATATACACATCAAAAGGAATTTAACAAGCAAGATGTAACATAATTATTACTCCATTTTATTTTTTTTCTTACTCCCTATGTCGCTATTTTTTTTGCCCCATTGCAAATAATTGGGTCAAATTTCATAAACTCTGACCATAATTTACCATTAATTAATACTCCATTCGTGTCACTTTGTTAGTCCCATATGCTATTTTGGGCGTTTCAAAATGATGTACCCAATGGAATAATTTTGGGCGTTAAAAATTTCACATATATTTTCATAATATGTAAATAATTAATCTAATTGGGTGTTTAAAGAGTCAAATAATTCTAATTGGTTAATATATGTGCTAGTGTATTGCTGACATGGCAAATTCTTCCAAATCAAGATTTATTATAAGCGATTTGATTACAGCATTTCCACAAATAAAACAAGAAAAGACAAAACATTAATTACAAAAAAAGGGACTAACAAAATGAAACGGAGAGGGTAAAAGATAATGTGAATAAACTAGTTAAAAGCAAAAGATTAGATAGAATAAACTGGTTGAGAAATAGAGGTTACCACCATGGAGGATGGAGGGTGGAAGTCGGAGGTGAGGACGTCATGAGGCACGTACAAGAGAGAAGCTAGGTTTAGGGTTTTTTTTTATCTTTTTTTTAAAAAAAATAAATCAAATTATAGGCTCTTGATACCATGTGAATAATGAAAGGATGACTCACCCAATTAGGGAGCCCTGACACTCATATATATAATAAACAGTAAAGTTACACAATTATATAAATAACCTTATGGTTATACTACTAAATAACATAGTCATGTGAAGTCTTGTTG